GCTTTGTACATGAAACGTATATCACCGACATTCTTTACCTTTTGTTTTTACTAATTTTATTTCATTCTGCGTGACGAACAGTGTACATTTTTAACTGAAATGTAAGCACATATGCTTACATAAGTTACAAATACAAATACAAAATTGGAATCCATTGGGGGTCGGTGTCCAGTTCATCAGATCATACGCCCTTTGGACAGGATCAAACGTCCAATGTTCCCAATATACACCTCGATACCCAATCGAACTGGTGATCAATACCACGATTAGGAAGTTATGTGCGTGATTCGTATGCCTCTTCTTCATCGGTGTGGAATCATGGATTTTAGCCCACTCCTTTAGTTGAACTGCCAGTAGTTCACCAACCACGTTATGGCCCCGAATGTTGGCTTTTGGTCCTCCCAACTTGGTGATAAAATACCTACGACATGGGAAATTAGTGAGCGAAATACAAGGGAGGGGTGACCAGCCGCAATCTCGAGACACCCACTCTGATGACCATACTTAGGTGTTCAGAGTAAATATGGAGAAAACAAATCACATGGTTCTACCTTGACTATGGATTGACCAGCTGCACAGTGTACGATTCAGTGGCCAGTCAAAACGAATGGGTTTATACTTGGAATCTAGTCATGAGCTCCACCTCTAATCACCAGCTAGTCTTGGATTGGCACGAATCTTCTTTCGTTTCACTAAAAGCCTTCAGAAATATTGAAAAATAGTAAATGTAATAAATTAAATCGTTTTCAATAGAATAATTAAAATAGAATTGTTTAGTTGTGGTTTCACAGGACAAGACAGGAACGATTGAATTGATTTCCAAATGGCATACATTAATATGAACGTTTATTTTGTTATTGGCAAAAACAGCTTCGTGACAAGAAATCTTTATTTTGAAGAAGAAACACGTTTCTTATTTGCTACGCGATCGGATCGTTCTATCATTCACACGCTTTGTGTCTCTCAATCAGTTCAGGCTATTTACCGTGACGATTTTCCTGAACGAGCGAATCGATTGTCCCCACCCTCGCAACACGACGCAATGAATGCCAACAAGACACTTGTATCACGGTAGTCTGTGTAGTATAGTGCATCACGTGACTAGGAAATCCAATTCCAAGGCTTCATTGCAATTAGTGAATCTAAACCAAACAACGGGCAGCCGTGTGTGTGTGATCAAATGTTGTAGTTCGTGGAATTTGCACAAACCGAAAGGTATGTTGGTATGCTGTTGGAGCATGAAGGACGGCGAATGTTAACACTTTAGTAGGTAAACTTTCGTCAGTCCATGGGACCACTTCCCAGAAGCACTCGGAATACAGAAATAGTTGTGCCTTGTACCGCACCGTTCTACAGATGGAACAAATATGGACATATTGTAATTACTAAATGTTTTTCCATTCAGTCGGGGAAACGGGACGATCTACCTACTTTTCGTAAAATGGTAGGGGTTGGTGATGGAACACCTCTATTAAAGAGCACGCAGTATCTGGGGAAAACTCCGAAGGTTTTTGT